AACTGAGCATGCAGTTTGCATGCAGATGGGTCCAGGTTCAATTCCTGGTGTGTCTAGTTAAAACATTCAGTTAGCAAGTAATGGGGAAAGAAAGAACTGCCTGAGACCCTGAAGAGCTCCTACCAACCAGAGTAGTAATACTGGGCTAAATGTAGTATAAATGGTAGAAGGCAGCTTCCTATGTGGCTAAATATATTGTCAGCAGTTTGTATTTTCACCGGGAGCTCTCCAAAGGTCACAGTCTTCTGTCTTAATGGAAGCCTCTGAGTTGAACAATCCCTTGAGCATCTGTGCCTGATTTGTCAGCGCTGTGTTTGAATTACCTGCCCATTAGAAATTACACTGTGCCAGCAAGTCTGAGTTGAAACTAACTTGTACTGCCTGTGCAAGGAAGGAACGGAGTGCTTGCTTTGCTTAGGTTAAGTTGTTCTTTTATTTGCTTTTTCTGCAAAAAGAGCCAAACTTTCACAGATCTATGACAGAGATACGGCTTTTGAAATGTCAGCCTTTTACATTGTACTTTGATTAGTACAAACAACGCTGCAGTTTTTTAAAAAAATGATCAAATGCTAAAGTTTTCTTGAAATCTTTTTTTTCTTTTCTTTAACTATGGGTATTAATTTCAGCTATGATTATAATTTTCCAATTATAACATGCCATGTAAGAGATAGGATTTAATAGTGATCAAAGGAGGTCAGCAACTCATGCGGTTATTTATTATTTTTATTTTAAAGAGCTCCACAGTTCATGTGTTTGTGTCACCGCTGCAAAACCCTTTTACCTCCCCAGTGCCCCACTTTCTAAATCTGTAACATATCTTGTCTTTAGCTGTAGCTGTGCAGATCCACATGAGTTTTTAATTTCATTTAATTATCCCTCCCAGAGATAATTAGGAAATATCTGTAGCTGTAAATTAGAGATGTTGGACCACTCTGTGTGATAAGTGGCAGGAACCTGCATGCCTGGTTTGCTTTAAGAACAAATCAAACTGTAAGATGCCTTCTTGTCTTTCATTGGCCAGTAATGGGTCTCTGGCTTGCAGCAAGTGGTGACATTTAATTATATCTTATTTACGATATAGCATTCATGTTGGGGAGCAAATATGGGTCCAGCCCTTGGGCAGAAACTTGCTAGAAACAGCAGTACGGAAATGAATTTTTTTGGCACACTGAAGTGAGCAAAGATAGTAACGTACTGTACAGAACACTTCTGCAAATAAAACCCTTACACAAAGGGAACCTTTATTTGGCTCAAAGAAGGCTACAGCAAGCTCGAGAGATTCCTTTGCTGCTGTTTTTAAATGTGAGCTGTGATTCCCAGGAACCTGAAAGGTGGCCCAAAATGCTACACCGAAATAAGTCATGGCATGAAGGCAATGAACCAGTGCCCTTCCTCATACCAATATTCCCACCTCTATAACGATAAAGCCATTCATCCTTATTTTGCTGACATGAAATTGATAATAGTTTCTGGTTGGCATGTGGTGGTTGAAAATTTGTGGCTTAATAGTTTGAACTCATGTTTTACTCGTTTTTAGCAGTCCTGTGTGCTGCTAGAAATGACAGGGATTAAAAGCAATACAGTGGTACCTCAGGTTAAGTACTTACCGTAATTCGTTCTGGAGGTCTGTTCTTAACCTGAAACTGTTCTTAACCTGAAGCACTTTAGCTAATGGGGCCTCCAGCTGCCGCTGCATGATTTCTGTTCTCATCCTGAAGCAAAGTTCTTAACCCGAGGTAATATTTCTGGGTTAGTGGAGTCTGTAACCTGAAGCGTATGTAACCTGAAGTGTATGTAACCCGAGGTACCACTGTATACACATTGTTGGCTTGAATACAAACAAATAAAATAAATGTATGCTACTTTTGTTAGGGTCATTGCTGTATGATTGGGTTTGGTCATTGCTGTGCTTCTTACTAGCACTGAGTCATGATTTCTGAAATGCCACATGAAAATTCTAGAGTTCTTTGACAGAGAGTATAATACAATTTGAGGATGGGGAGGGTTGTGTGGCGATACCAATAAAAAGAAGAGGCCTTGTAAGCTATGGACTCCAGACACATTTGGATATCCTAGCCTCAACAGCAGCCTTTTAACCACACTCTCATTTCAGAGTGATTCTTTCCCCTCCCACCTTTAAAGCCTCAGGGGACAGCCAGGCTTTCTGTTTGGTTTGTGACAGTTACCAAGGTTGCCATGGAAATTCAGAAGGCTCATCCCTTTCTCTGTTGAGGCCAGGCCTCTCTGTACCAAAGACAGATGGGTGTGATGTTTTAAAGCTCAGATTAAAATAAAAGAAAGTTCATTCAGATCATGATTTCAGGGCTGAAATGTTTGTGGATAAATAATCCATCAGATGTCACCTGTCTGAACTTGTGTATAGGACAGTTCTTTGAGGGAGATTGTACCAGGCCAAATGTGGATACTGCATTGACTGAGATTTAGGAGATCTGGGTTCCATTATCTCTGCTGCCATGCACTTTATATAAGATTCTGGTTCATTTAGCTAGTGTCAGATCTTCACTTCTAATATTTCAATGACACTTGCCTGTGCCCACCTTCATAAGCATTGTTAAGCTATGTCTAAGGCTGTGGGGGTGCCCATTCTGCTGTCTCCCCAAAACCTTGATTCTTGGAACCTAGTGCATGGTTATTTGGAAATAAATAACCTGTTTCAGGTAGGTGTGTTTAGGTTCAAAGTCAAACTCTAGGTTCTCCTATGTGCATCCACTCTGGCCTTCTGAATGTGTTCAACTTACCCGCCTGATACTTGATAAGATACCAAAACATTATTTTCTGTAGCAAGCAGGTGTTTTGTTTTTGTTTTTAAATCAAATCTACTTTTCACAGCAAGTGGAGAATCAATCAAATCTGGTGGGAAAGCTCTGATGGCGTGATGCATTCGATTCATATCACCTCACCTATTCCCAGTTTGATGGAAAATGTCTTCAAAAAGCCAAACCTCCCAAGAAGTCACTGAGAGTTGTTAGGGGACCTGTGGTAGACCAGCACCGTCTGCAAACTGCAGTTCCCAGGATTCCTTGGGGGAAAGCCTTGACTGTTAAAGTGGTATAAGAGTGCTTTAAATGCATTGTATGGATTTGACCCTAGTTTTTGCTCTGTACAAGAAGACATTGCAACAAACTAGAGCAAATGTGTGAGTTCACACTCAACAGCCACAATCTTTTATGAAGGTGTGTTGCCTTTACAGTGTCTTTTCTATTACATTTGTGTACATTTTGGATATTCCACTGATGTCCAATTAACTCCTGCACATAAACATCCCTCAGCCTTGATGTTATCTCTGCATGCACACATGTGTCCAGGAACTTAACACCACAAAGAAGTGCTCTTCTTTTATATACACTTCTGCTTGAGTGTGGCTGACTGGAGTGATTTTTAAAAGGAAAACAGAATGTTTCAATATCTCACTATGCTTTATGAAGGGAATAGGAGAGAAGCTACTGAGAACTGGACTGTGTGTGGTCCATACCTGAGCCCTTTAATCTTAGAAGGAAAAGCAGCATACAGTGGTACCTCGGGTTAAGTACTTAATTCGTAACCTGAAGCGTATGTAACCCGAGGTACCACTGTATCACAGGGAGCAAGCAAGTTGTTGTCTGCATAGCAATGCAAACAAATAATGATTCTCAAATAATCCAAATGGGCTTTATTCTGATATCTCACCTGGGGTAGATAGGAGAATTTTCTGAAAACAATAGTTCAAAAGTAGCTGTTTGAGGACCTCCCCTGACACACTGACCTTCCATTTCATTCTGACATTAAAACTGCAGAAAGAATACCTGGCCAGAAGAAGACAGTATGAGATGCTGGTCTCTGTACCATGTGAGCATCCAGCCTTTGCTTGCAGGGCTGTCAGCTGTGCATTACACCCCAATGGCATTTTAAAATGTTAGTTTAGCCACAGTTCTAGTTGCTGGGCAATTTAAGATGTGTAAATATTCGCATAAGTAGGAGTTTCCCTTCATCTGGGTGAAATAGACACCACAGTTTTGTTTTGACCCCTAAACATGTAAAGGTTCACAGAGTAACACGGGCATGCCCCAGCCCCTGTGTCAATAGCATTTTACATGATCACATCTGATTTCTCTTGTAAACACACACACCAGTGAATAAACTATTGAGATTCTTAGAAAGTTGAGATAATTTTGATCTGTTTTAGTTCTTTAATTTTTTGTATGTTTTAAAGTAGGATTGCAATTGTTTCTTGATTTTACTGTTTTATCCTTTGTAAACTGCTTTGAGGGCTTTTTCTTCTTAATAATCAAGCAGTCTATAAAATTTATGAAACAAACAAACAAACAAACAAACATGCAAATTGTAAGGAAGTTTCACCATTGGAGTAGAATTGAATAGATAGAATTAAGCTGGCTCTGCAACCAAGGTGCTCCTTTGAGAGGCAACGTGCAGACTAAGGATGACAAACAGGAATACAGACGCAAGTTTATCATACCAAAAAACAAAATAAAATACCAGACTGAACTTTCAAACTCCAGCACTAAATGTGGTTTGAGCCCATCTGTGATTTTTTTGGTCGTGTGTTGACAAGTTCCCTTTGATGGGTTCGGCATGTTAAAGGTTTTGGTCCCTCCTCCTTTCTCACCCTCAGGAAAGTAGAAAGAGATTTGCTGTTGCTCACCATAAAGATATTATCTGACCCTGATCATGGGCAACTCTCTCTTCTGCATTTGATTATCCCTTTGCCCTTACTGACAGGATTCCTTCCCCTGCCCTCTTATTGCCAAATGACCCAGAAGAGAAGTTGCCTGGGCTCATGAAGAGCTATTTAACCTATTTTCATCTAGAGGTCTCTTTGGCCACAGAGTGACTCTTTGGTGGTTTCTTTCCTGTTAACAGGCTTAGCTCTCCTCCATTGTGCCTGATCACTGGGCAGAAATGCAGAAATTACTATCAAACCATCCCTTCTAACTGGTGTGTGGGTTTCTCTGCCCCCCTTTCCTTCCTTCTCCCTTTCTTTGATGACAGATCTGGAGACAAACCTGTGCAGAGTGATGGGCAGTGCTGACCAAGGTTTGACTGCTCTGCCGCGCAGGCGGGTCACCCTTCAAGATCCTTTGCTGTATTCTGGTCTCGACAAACTGCCTGTTGCCCAAGACCCTGACAGCCAGAGTTGGAGGTCCCTTGACAGTCCTAGCCCTCCTGCCACACCCGAGCAAACCCTACCCACCTTCTGCTTGCAGTACTTTGATATGCTCTACCCAGACGACAGCAACTGGGTTCCGAAGGGTCTGGCCGAAAGCCAGCAGCCCAGCAGCCAAGGCAGCAGGGCAGAAGTACCTAAAGAACCCGAGCAGTGCCCTATCATTGACAGTCAAGGTTTGAGCCTTACACCTGATATGGACTACCAAGCCAGTCTTCACCTGGAAGAACACTCCCTGGAGCAAGTGCAGAGTATGGTGGTGGGTGAAGTGCTCAAGGACATTGAAACGGCTTGCAAGCTTCTCAATATCGCTGCAGGTGAGTACCTAGAGCACCCTCTTCTTTTACTGCTTGGGAGGCCTATCTAGGAAGGCCTATTAGCCCATTGAGGGGAAATATTTATGCAGCAGAGGGCAATGGTGTGGCTGCTGCTGAGTTAATTTCTATGCAATGATGCAAATTCGTAGGCAGAAGTCAATATTGCTTGCCTAACATTGGCGGGTCCCATGCTAGTCTCAGGCCACTGCTTATGTTGCCTGTGAAAGATACCATGTATGCTTATGGTGCAATGTGGCTATTGAATAGAGTTGCCACAATGGGCATGAGTCAAAACTGCATTGGCGTTGGCATGAGAATGTATTGCCTCAGTGGCAGACCTTGGGGGTCTCAAATTTCACTGGTGCCCTGCCCATGCCTATTGCCTTCTGGTTTACTTCATAGTTGCAGCACCCCCTACGGTTGCACCAGCCACACTTCCCTAAATCTGCCTCTGATTTCCTACCTCCTTGCTTTCAACCTCTGTAACAAGGGGGCCTGAAAGCATTCTTCATGTGATATTGTGTAGAATGGCCTATGCGGGGCCCGCTCTATTTAATCATTGGTTTATCTCAAGCATCTAAAGCCAATTGAAATCTGTGAAAACTCTATTGACTTCTGTAGTGCCAAATGTTGACCTTTAGCCCACGAAACAGAGTGGTTGCGAATCCCATTAATAATAATAATAATAATAATAATAATAATAATAATAATAACACCCCACCCATCTGCCTGGGCTTCCTCAGCCACTCTGGGCAGCTTCCAGCACATAAAAAGTGTCAAACATTAAAAACTTCCCAATAATGGACTGCCTCCACATGTCTTCTAAAAGTTGTGCACTTCTTTATCTCCTTGACATCGGATGTCAAATTCTAAAGACTAAGAATTTGTGATCTAAAATATTCTGTCACCCAAACCCCCCAAATTCTGCAAAATATTCAGTATCACATTTCCCATTCGACTCTGTGGTTTGTTTTTTTTAAAGGGAAAGAACAGGGAATAACCCATGCTTCTGATTACAGTTAGCTGCAGAGGGGAATGGAGTTTCACATTGTGAAGCTCTACATACTCAAAAGGCAGGGGCCAAGGGGAAAGATACTGGGCTGGCCCAACAGTTTTGTGTCTCCTGAAATAGGTGCTGTCAACTGGAAAAATATGAAGCAGGATGGGGTTTGTATTCATTAACCATTTGGGATAAGCCCTTCGAGACCTTATCAAGCCACAGGCTTATTATGCAGCAGCAGCATTCCTTCCTTTCCCTTGATTCGTCAATGTCCCCTCCCTCCATATGAGGAGGATCAGAGAAGTCTCTGGGAATGGATGTGAGAATGTTTATCAGAATATTGTGCCCCATATCTGCTGAGTGTGCTGTTCTAGGCACCAATGTCTTGCTACCTTCCCCACTTGCCCTGGAATTAGCATTGTTGTTCACCCACATAGAACTCCTGAGTGACTTGCAGAAGACTTATTTGATTTTGTTTTCTGCTGTCTTGGAGCTATAAGGAAAGACTTCACAGCTGGTAGCACACATTATGACATGAATACACCATTACAACTATCAGTCCTGATTATTTTTTTACTTCTACCATCCCAGTGGCTCTTGAACTGTCTAGGACTTCTGTTTCAGTGTATCTGAAGAAGTGTGCATGCACACGAAAGCTCATACCAATAACAAACTTAGTTGGTCTCTAAGGTGCTACTAGAAGGAATTTTTTTTTTTGTTCCAACTACAGCAGATCAACACGGCTACCTACCTGTATCTTGAACTGTCGTTCTTTTTCTCAGTTTGAATCAAAGGCGGTTTAGGAGAAAATGCATCAAAATGCAATGTTTCGTAAGAAGCAACAGGATAGATATTGATTGTGGCTAACACGTGTATGCAATTTCCCAAACCGGTAGTAGAAGCACAGTCATCTGTGTACATAGCCTGGGTCTCTGTGTGATATAAACAAATGCTATACCATGAAAAATGGCAGCTTGGAGATCACACACTGGCATCAGAGGTATTGGCTGAAGATTTTAAAAAACCACACAGCAAAGGTTGTAGCAGAAGGCATGGGAGAAGGAACTCTCTGTCACTATGCATTGGCAAATGAGGCAATTTGACTTTTTGTAGATTTTTTTTTTTAAAGCAGAATGATAATTTTGTTTTGTATTCTTTCAGTGTGAGACACAGAGAATGTGTTTACATTTTATTCTCATCGTTCAATTCCTTACTATGTCATTAGCATTGTGTTAGGTCTGGAATAAATTTCATTTCAAGCATGGGGAGTTTCCCCACACATATACCTTTGAGAGTTGTGGACAAACCAGAACGTGGGGGAAGTTCTCCTCTGCTAATGCTGGTCATCTAGAATGCTTTGTGCATTTTCTTTGTAGATGAATTATACTTAAGACAATACAAACTGTTGGGGTTTTTTGGGGGGGAATATACCCAGTATCTCTTTGTTTCCCTTATAGACCCAGCAGATTGGAGTCCAGGGAATGTCCAGAAGTGGATCTTGTGGACAGAACACCAATACAGGCTCCCCCAGATTGGGAAATCATTCCAGGATCTGGGTGGGAAAGACCTATGTGCCATGTCTGAGGAGCAGTTCCGTCAGCGATCCCCAGCATGTGGGGATGTCCTGCATGCTCATCTGGACATCTGGAAGTCAGGTATCTAGAGACTGAGCTGGAAAAAAAAGCAGAACTTTTTTTTTTTTACTCTTAGCAATCTCCTATTGCTGTCTGGGAATTCATTCCTGCAAACCAATGCTGCCTTTACAGGGAAAGGGAAATAATTTATGTCGATGGAACTTTTCATACCATTGGCTTATGGCCACGTTCACTGAAATTGCGCCAGCATTCAGCCTGATGGAACAGCAAGTCTTTCGGTTCAATTATTTCTCTGTTAGGCAATCAATAGTGGAAATGAAGTAGGGTGGATGGGCCTGTCACGCAGCAGGGAACTGGGGTTTTCCTTCCTTCCAAATCTATGAGCAAGTGCTTTCCTTGAGATCCTCAGGTGTGGGGAAACAGGGCCCATCAGAGTGCAATGGCCAGACAACTGGACCATCCTGTGACATTTGTGCTTGTTTCCCAGCTGCCTGGATGAAGGAGAAAGCTGCCCCTGGAGAGATGCATTACTGTGGTGAGCTCACCCTTTCCGCATGTAACCAAAGCAAGCAGTAAATGAGTGAATGAATGAATGAATGATGTGGGGAGGAGAGTAGAAACAGCTGGGAAGCGACTGGGGTGCAGATGAAGAGGTTCAGGAAACCAAGTGGTGTTTTTAGCCACTATGCAAATGAATTGCAGTATGACTTGTAACAGATGCCAGTTTGTGTGCTGCTTATTGTGTTGTCTTCTTGCTGTTGGGCAAAAAGAGGAAATGTATACTTCCATTATTTTGGGGTGATTTTTAAAATTAGAATTAAAATAGTTGTACCCCACCTTTCCACGAAAATGTCAAGGCAGCTTAGAAACAGGTGACTGGAGCTGATGGGAGTTGTAGGTCAAAGTATCCAGAGGGCACCAGGTAGATGTAAGAAGAGCCTGCTGGATCAAGCCAGTGGCCCATTAGTTCAGCATCCTGTTCTCACAGTGACTGATCAGATGTCTGTGGGAAACCAGCAAGATAGATCCGCGCACAAGAGCCCTCTCCCTTTCTGTAGTTTCAGAAGCAACTGGTATAGTAGAACCCCGGTTTTCAAACGTAATCCATTCCAGAAGTCTGTTCTGCTTCCAAAATGTTCAAACACTGAGGATCAAAGGGCTGTCAGAAAGTTCAATGGGGAAATTGAGAAATGCACCTTGGAAGTGCACATTTGGAAGCGAAAGCATTCACTTCCAGGTTTTCGGCATTCGGCTTCCAAAATGTTTGGCAGCCGAGACGTTCGAAAACCGAGGTTTGACTATAGAAGCATTGTTGCCTCCAACTATAGAGGCAGAGCCGAGCCATCATGGCTTGTAGCCATCAATAACCACCCCCTCTATAAATTTGTCTAATCCTATTTCAAAGCCATCCAAGTTAGTGGCCATCACTGCCTCCTGTGGGAGTAAGATTGATTGATTGATTGATTGATTGATTGATTGATGTGCCGGCCATCTAACTGGGTTACCCCAGTCATTCTGGGTGGCTTCCAACCAATTAAAACACAGCAAGACATCAAACATTAAAACTTCCCTATACAGGGCTGCCTTTAGATGTCTTCTAAAATAGTTTAACTATGCGCTGTGTGAATAACTACTTTTAAAAATCTGTCCTGAATCTTCCAACAGTGCAACAACAGAGAAGGCTCTCTCTTGTATCTCGGCTAAATGTAGCTGAGATGTTAGTGGGATGGAAAGCAGAGCCTTTGCTGTGGGTATTTATGGGCAGACAGGCCGATATGGGAGGAGGTGATCATTTGGACAGCTTCATTCTAAGCCATTTAGTGCTTTAAATGTATCAATCAGCATTTTGAATTCATTATGGAAATAAACAGGAAGCCAGTGTAGCTCTTGCAAAAGGAGTCACTTGCTCCCAACCATTTGCCCCAGTCACAGGCCTAACTGCCACATTATCTACTGGGTGAAATTGCTGGACATTTTTCAAAGGCAGCCCTGTGCAAAGTGCATTGTAGCAATCTAATCTGCCTTCTCCTGGCCATGGTAATTTATAGGAAGTGAAGAGAACTGGACAGACAGTGAGGTGGACTCATCCTGCTCTGGCCAACCCATTCACCTGTGGCAGTTTCTGAAAGAGCTTCTTCTGAAACCCCATAACTATGGACGCTTCATTCGCTGGCTTAATAAGGAAAAAGGTGAGTGTTGTTGATTCCTTCTTGAAATTTCAGTGCCACCTCCTGACTTAGGGGCATAGGCCTTCATTGCCAGGTTTCATTCATGCAGTCATAAACTCAGAGATATTTTTATGGTGGTAGTTCTAATGTCCAGGCATATTAAACCATTGGCATGAAAACTCTGACCTCCATTGTTCATGATTCATATATGTAAGGTTACTATTCATACTACTACTCTCCATATCTAAGTGATATGTGACCTATTCCCATGAAGCTCTCTTGCAGTATTTGGTGCTTATGAGGTCATTGAAAACTTCTTTTCTGCTGCTGCTGCTTATTTATTTATTTAAAAGTATTTTTTGAAGCCCATGCTTCAGCTAAAAAGTCCTCCAATATCACTCACACATCACTAAAAAAGACAGCCCTGCACTTGGGCTTAGAGACTAAACAGATATGACACTAAAGATAAATAGATTGGGAGAGAGGAGGAAATATGCAAACTCAGCTACAAGATCAGTCTCTGACCAACATCTGATGTGGCAGCTGGAGCCAGAGTTCGAGAGGTATGGGGCTGACAATAATAATATTTATTAATTAGTGATTGTTTTATATCCTGCTTACATGTCATAAAGAGCTCAAAATGGAATCCTGTCAAGCTCTTAGATTCAAGTTCTTATAATGACCAGCTGGGGCAGAAAACCTCAAGGGGGGTAGGTGCCAAAAGACGTGGGTCTCTCAACCACACCAACAGAGTTTTGCTTCCTTTACTACAGCCTGATGTTAATGGCTGTCTGTTAAACAAACTATATTTTCAATTAGACACTCTTCCGATTCAAAATATTGTTACAGTGCCTGGGAGTTGAATACGGTTAGATTGTAAATAGATTTGGGTGAAAACAAATGCTTTAATTGGCCTTGCTGCTTCTCATATTTACTTTCTAGGTATATTCAAGATTGAAGATTCCGCCCAGGTGGCTCGTTTATGGGGAATCCGGAAGAACCGGCCTGCTATGAACTATGACAAGCTGAGTCGCTCCATCCGGCAATATTATAAGAAAGGGATCATCAGGAAACCAGACATCTCCCAACGCCTGGTCTACCAGTTTGTACACCCTGTCTGAAGAACAAATTCAGAAACACTGACTACATTATGAGCTGGAGGACTTCTGGAAGCATGGTACCCCTTAACCTCTGCAATATAGCAATTTTAAAATGCAGATGAAGTCAGGGGTTGGACAAGAGGCAGGAGCCCATTGGATTCGTCTGCTGAACTTCCAAATAATCATGAGACCCCTGCTTGTTACTTGAGAACAAGGAAACAAATAAACTATTATTGTCAAAGTAAAACAGCAAAGAGAAGTAACTGCTGTGAAATGTATGAAGTATGTATGCTTCATTTGGAGGTTCACAGGTTTGCATATAGGAAATTTTTCCTTTCTGTACATTTATCTAAACATATTATCTATACATATCCAGCTGCATGCTTATGGGAAGTCAAGAGGAGGAGGCAGGGTAACAGTAGAGAGAGACTCAATTCTAACCAGCAGCTGTTGCTTCCTTTCCAGTGAAGTCATTGGTAGAATATAGTAGGCATAAAAGCAAGGGGGGGGGGTTGTTGTTGTTGTTTTGCAACTTTGCTAAATGCAAACTAGGGAGCAAATCTCTCAATGTCGCTCATAAACGAGTCAGATCTTGCAATAAATGCATTTGGGAAGGACCTCATAGCCTAATCATCAGTGCTGTATTGTTCCATATTCTGTCATGCTGCAGTGCAAACTTCTAAGTTGTCTGAATGCCCCAATACCCTCTGATCTTCCTTTGCTGTCCGCTTATGAAGCAGAAAGCAAAAATTATTATGAGACAAGGAAATTGCCATGGCAGAGGAGAGACAACAATCTGAGTGATTTGTTCATGACCCCCACCCCCATTTTTACTAATGGCACAACGGCTTGGGATTTGATATTGGAGATATGGAGTTTTATATTGATACAAACGAGGGGTAATCTTCAGTATAAGAGGTATGACGTAAGCAACGGTTTAGAATTGGGCTGGCAATACTATATAGAGTCTATGATTAAGAAGAGAGTATGAGCCTATCTCAAGGGAACAGCTCAGAAAGCCTCCCCAAGTTTGGTATTAATGGACTGGCCACTTTCTCATATAGTCAATGAATAAGAATGGTGACTGTTTGGGGGTATTGTTAGGAGAAGGACAGAGTCACCCATTCTCAGTGTGTGAATGAGCCTGGCTTGAGAGGAAAGACAATAGGATCATGTACAGTCCTTTTCTGGCAGAGCTCATGCTGACCCAAGACTAGAACACTCTGGCACCTGCATGCTTACAGGGGCCAACTGGCTTAGCATTTGGGTAAATCTGAGAAAAGCAGTGCCACCACTAGGCTCTCATGGTGCTGCTGGCAATCATATAAGGTGGTGTGATGCTGATCCCTGGGGGATGGCAACCATCCCAAGAACGGACAAAGCTGTAGTGCCTTTGCTGTTGACTTTCTGAAAATATGATGCTGGGTTTTTGTTGTTGTTGCAGTTCAGTAGCTAATGCTGGGAATTAGAGAGCACCTCCCAGTCTCACAGGGTGGCTTTCCATGAATCACTCTCTTGTCACTCAGATGCTCTCAGTTCCCTGCCTGCAAAATTGCCTGTGTGTGCCAAATTAAGCCAACTGTGTGCACTTTGTAACTCGGGTGGATGGACAACAGCAAGGCAAAGAAGGATGTGCCATGCACACTATTTACCTCACACTGCAAATTGAGAGATGTGGGGGAATAGTTGCATGTGTGTGGTCCTTCTGTTCTTCTGTTTTACTTGCAGACATCCTGGCAAAATCACCAGACCTTGTTGAAAAAAATCTGTCAGGGCAACCAAAGAATAGAAGACTGAAGTTCCTCTTAATACCATGGAACAAGCACAACATTGAGATTTGTGTAATAAATAGCCAGAATGGGTACAAGGGAATCTGTTTACTGTACTGAATAATGCATAGTAGCTTAAATTACCTTTGTGTGTGTGCGTTCAGAATATTAGTGCAAATTATTACTTTGTGTAGACAGTCTTTGAATCTGAAGTTAAGTGCCTTCTCAAGGTGCAAGACCAATTCTTCGCCAAATGTTATCTGAAACTGCCTAACCAAATTGTTGCAGTTATCATCCTCCTTTCTGGAGGGGCTCCTGTGCCTTTTAAGAGCTGCACAATAGACAGAAATTAAAAAGGTCAAGTTGCTCCCTTGCTAATTCATCTCAGAGTTAGCCCAGTCATTTCATTAACAGAATTCTCTTCACATGGGTTTGAGACACAGCAAACCCACCTTAATCTTCCATGGGCTTGGGTGGAGGGGACAAGACTTCATTTTAGCAGTGGCCTCATATAGTTGTCTCAGAGTTTGTTATTCAGGTTTTCAGAACAGGACAAGTTAATTCAATTCACTATGGAGCAGAGGTCAGTATGAGTTGGCCCTGAAGGATGCTGAATGACTCTCTCACAACTGTCAGTCGCTGAGATACAAGAGTAGGTGAGTAATGGGGCTTGTCAAAGAATCATTTTGGGGGATGAGTGTAAGAGTCGGGGTTGCCCATCCCTACTCCCTTGTCAGTGTAGCTCTCTGCAAATTCTTTTGACCCTACTTTGCAAAATCCAGGATGCAGCTTTCCACTACTCCTATGAACTTTAATGTGCATTTTGTTCAACCTTTGACTAATTTGTGTTCAAAATGATTTTCTTTTACATTTGTGTGTCTTGACAGCTCATAGCTTAAATGGAGGATTTAGAGACAAAGGTCCTTATGAAATTATTAACCCATATAAAAAATACATACTTAAAAACCAATTTCCAATAGCTGTTATGCAACTGCTTTTTCCTTGGTTTGCGGACAAATTAATATTTGATTAGCAGGTGGGATCCTTTTATAGAAAAAAACACAATCAAATGTGCCCGTTTTGGGTATTATTCAACTATGTTTGATTCAGAGAAGTCCCACTGAAATTAATGGATTGAACACTGCCATATTTATTCATTTCAATGGGTCAATTGCATGTAAGTTGAATGCCACGCTTAATTTATAGTGGAAGCATAGAATATAGATGCTGCTGCCGTTTGTAAAATGGAAATGTACAGATTGGGGGAGTCATCCACATCCTTGCAGTGCATAATGGGAAGACAGCAAGCAAGCATCTGGCAAATAAAATAGCTGCAGGCAATTATGATAAATGCTTAAAGAAAATGGAACTGTGTGGCTATTGTGTGGCATAACAAAAAGCACCTTCTTTCCTCCCCACATTGCAATAAATTATGATGCTTCGAGCAGAAGAGGTTGGTGGTGATGAGAGATTTATATTAGAGTGTGCAAGGGGGTTGTTGCTTCTTGAGGATATGCATCTATTCATATGCGAACTATGGGTCCTAAGGACGTACAGTACCTGTTGGGAGTGTAAATACCTGGCTGTAGCACAGTGCTGAGGAAAGACATCACTAGGGAATAGTTGCTTCCTGGAAAATAAGTGCTCAAAAAATAAAATGTTAAAAACAACTCAGATTGCCTAATGTGCTCTGTCAGTTAATGCAGCTGTGAAATCCGCATGTGATAAAAGGCTCCTGTACCTTTAACAGCAGATACAGTTTTGCCCATCACTACAGCACTTGAGGAACCCAACTGCACCTGCTGAATTCCTGCTAGAGGTATCTGTTAAAGGCACAGGAGCACTATTTTCTCTTGCATGTTGTCAACCCATGTTGAGTTTCCATTTCCTGTGTCATAAAACCTGATCCCTCCCTAGAATCTCTGCCAACAGCAACAAAGCTAAACACACTGTGCATGAATAAAATAATCCTTTTATTATTGTTTTTCTTAAGTATAGTTTTTGCTCTTTATGGAAGAAGAGGCAGACTGGCATGACACAGATACATTACTCTCCATCTGTTAGTATGTAGCTTTGCTGACAGTAACAATCTCCCCCAGTCCCCCAGGGCTTTAATCAGAAGGAGTAGACCAGGGATAGTCAACCTTTTTATACCTACCACCCACTAATGCATCTTTCTTGATAGTAAAATTTCCTTACCACCCACCAGTGCTCGATGGAAGTCAGCTTGTGCCATAGAACCCCCTACCACCCACCTAGAATCCTGAAACGCCCACTAGTGGGCAGTAGGGACCAGGTTGACAACCCCTGGAGTAGACAAAGGGACCATAGCTTTTCTTCGGATCCAGCATTCACTATGTGGCCCTTGGCCCACACAACAATTACAGAAACCTTACTGCTGATTCTCAAGAGCACTTCCAGGAGGGTAGCCACTAGGCAGACTGTGATTCGGGCACCTTGTTTCATTACATGGAGGTAGGCATGTAAAGGCTAAGGGTTTGCAAAGAATTGCATTGACTTTTAGGGTCCTGTTGAAAGTGCTGAAAAAGCTACTCCCAAGAGGTCGGCATGCTAAAAGTTAATGCGCAGGGAATTCTGCATGCGCCTGCCTTTATCCATCTGCCTCTATGTGTGCCACTGATGGCCTCTGAACTAGTACAGCTACCGTTCCAGAGATGGACATGAGAATCAGCCCTTCCAAGGTCAGTAAATGGCTCTCTTAACAAGCAAATCTCTGCTTTCTTCTCTCTAAGAACTGGGGTGAGGGCTCCTAGGTCATGCTAGCATTATTTTTTTATACCTTGGGGGTGATGGTGCAGGGATGGTGGCAGCAGAGGCTTAACTCGCGCCAGAATCAAGGCTTTCATTAACTCTTCCTCATCCTCTACCATTAGCAAAGCACATCCATTGGTTTTCCCCATTTGCATATTCTGACTCCCGCTCAGCAGTCAAGGAAGTCCAAATGCAATGCTTTCTATGCAGAGTGAGACAACTTAGGGAATAGTGCCTCATGTGAAAACTGCTGCTACCCTCATCAAAGATCAGCTTTACCTGTTGGAACAAGAATGGGGTATATTCAGAACTTTCTGAGCATAACAAAAAGAAAGCAGGACTTTGTCAAACCTTGAGCCATATTATCCAGCTGTCAGATGGGGTGCAAGTCAGTGGCTTGCTCTTAGTATCAGGCTGGGGCTGGAGTTCAAATTAAGTCTTGAGTTTGAACTTGGAGAGAAATCTAATTTAAGTTGGAAGTGCAGCATCAGCTAGTCACTAATCTAGGAGTCAGAACTACTCCTTGTTCACCTTCCACCCCAGTGACCTGATCAACCTCAGCATGAAGCTCATCTTGTAAACATGACAGCTACATCTACATCAGGAGATGTTAAAGAGTACGAGAATCAAACAAGAATTAAAATCCATATAACATTTACATAGATCAGTTATCATTTTTGTATACACAGTAATACAGTCACAATATATATATATATATATATATATATATATATATATATATTATATATATATACCTTTTTGTTTTAAATTACACAATCAATGTACAAAAAAAAACAGGTGCATTGCTGAGACAACAGCATTCCTCAAAGTTTTTCTTAACCTAACAAAACAAAACAAAAGTTGAAGGTCGGAAAAATATTGTCTATGTTATCCAGTATGCAGCATGTTTTGTTCAGAAACAACACTTGGCTCACTGGCTCCAATAATTTGTAAGATATACAGGTTGCAGTGGAGGAGGAAGGATGGCGGCTCTATATAAAGAAACTTGGGGAAAGGGATGACTGGGGGCATTCAGGGAAAGTTTTGAAGACTCATATATAGACTAGCTAAGCTACAATAGCCATAAGCATCTGTGGGTCCCCAGCCGGATGAATCCAATGTAGACGAGCACACTTTGGAAGAGGAATGTTAATAAAAGTGTACTATAAGTAGACATGAAACAAGGAGCCTTCTGGTAAACAGAAGAAGAGCACTGTCTGAGGTGAGATATGCGAAATGAACAAATTAGGCAATGGGAAGTAGCTGGATGATGGAATCATGAGATTCCATTGGTTTGAAATATGTCAACCAAAGATGGGTCAAGCCCAGGTGATGTGCAGCATTGATGATATGCACCATGTACACTGTGCTACCATGGAGAAGAGAAATTGAGAAAAGAACTGCTGAGACTTCACTCTAATCTACCTTATCATTAGCTGTTCTAGTTTTTCGGATGGCAAAAAAAGGCTGCAAGGAACCCATGTATTTGAGTAAAGGGGAAGAATTTTCCCAAGGTAAGGAAGCATGAGAAGATAAGAATACAGAAATAAATTTCAGTTTCCTAACTTTTGGAGAAGAAAATACAACTTCTTAAAAGCCTATCTGACCTGAGCTATTTAAAAAAATCAACAGCTGAACAATTTGTGAGTAAGGAGATTTGAAAGAATGTCTTTACATTTGAGTTTTTTTGGACAAAGATATTCTTAAAGATAATCAAATTAAATTTGCTCCCCCCCTAATTTCATCTAATTCTACTTTTCCACAAATGTCACCAGCAACAATTTTGCTTCCCTTTACATCAGATGCTGTAATTATGTTTAACATATCGATTCCCTATTTATATTGCATCACACACAATCACTTTGTGAATAGCTCTGTTTGCAGAAGGACTCCTCTGTGTGCAACTTTCTTTCCATGTACAAAAGTTCATTTGATTCATGGAATGATTACACTGGAGGGAACCAACTGGTATTTGCTTCTTCATCCTTCATGTGGGAATGGTTGATTCAGGTCAGCATTTAGTGCATAAAGAAAGTTAAGTATTATTATTTGATTTATGTAGCACCCTTCATCAAAAGATGTCAGGGTGGTTCACAATAATGTAATTAACAAAAAGTATCTTCCATCCAATAATTTTTTCCCAGTGAATACCAGAAATTAGTTACTCTGATTGGAGACATTTCCACTGAAATGCTTGGATCTACTATGTGACTTTCTAGTGATGAATTTTACACCAAATCACCTATAGAGAAATGGTGGCCTCACCTATGCTTGCAGGGATACATCCAAAGTCAGTTAACCAATATCTCGGTGGTACAAAATATATTGTTTCTTTATTGATCCTTGTAGGGCTCAAACTCATGTCCTGTTCTCAGACAGGACAAAGGCTTGCTAGAAGATTCAACTTATTAAGCATGCTAGAGAACTTAAAAATAATGAAGGATCCTCATTTACTGGCACAGAAGGGTTCCTGAATCATAAACAAGTTTAGATCCCTGTTCAATGATATCTTTGGCCAAACAGAGCAATGACTGAAAGAAACTGTCATCCTATACTAATTTTTCCTATGATAGCTTCTTCAGCTCTAGGTAGGTAGTTCTCTTGTGCCAACTGTGAGGGATTTGGATGGGGAAAGGTAGGGAAATGTCACTTCCCTTTGATCTAGAACGCAGGTGGGGAACCTGTTCGTGCCTGAAGTCTGCATTCTTTCTGGACAACTTTCCGAGGGTCGCATGCCACAGGTAAAAGTGGGCGGAGTGACAAATGTAGAGTTTACCTTTGTACAGTAGGCTAGTTTCTATGCACACCATTTTTATTCTCCATATTGATAAGCAGGAGACACTATCGGAGTTCAAGAGCACACTCCAGCCAGGGAAAACTACTCAAGTGAAAAGCAGGGCCAGGGAGGGTGTGTGGCCTGAGGAGAGTTCTGAGGGACAGACAGAGAGGCCTGGAAGGTTTGGTACTTGGGTCTCACATTCTCCACCCCTGGTCTAGGAGCATGTTAACTTCTTACCAGTTTCCTTAATCTATGAGGTACATAGCTATCCCAACCAACTAATTTCTCGTTTCCAGTATGAACACAGAATACTTCTGGAGGCTGAAGCAAACCAAACACACTTTCACCACTGACGTGGACCTTTAAGTGTTTAGGATTACATTTAATCTAAACTCTAGGCATCCATTCATACTGTCCTCAGCTCAAAGAGCCCAGGAAGGAAACACAGAACTTCAGCTGACACATCCTGGCCAGCCCTCAAACTCCTTCCTTCCACTTCTGTAGAACGAATACTTTTTCCAAACAGGACGGAGCTTCAACATGGATTTGGCGCTTTATCTGGGATTCAATCACAAATATTCCTTTTAGCAGTCTTCTTATACTGCATGAAAAAGGGACAAAGCACCTCACTTTAGAAAAACTTTTCTCAGCAGTCTCAGTTATCTTTTCTGCTATCCTTGGGTCAGCTGACTGCTTCCATGGCTCCAAACTGTTCAAAATCAATGCACAAAATCAGACACAATTGCTGCTAATATCACAATGTGCACAGAAATCCAACTGGAATTTCCAATACTTTAAGGATACTTCTTCCTGGCACCAGCACTGGCATCTATTACTAGCCACATATCTCATCTGCTGAACGCCTTCTACGCCATATGTTGCATGACATCACACTGACAACTTCCTGTTTCCTTAATCATAAATTACGTAGGTTTTCCCGCCCCAGTTGATATAGAGATGCAGCCTCCCACCTCACTTTGGCGAACTTAACCCTGTTCACACTATGAAATTTCCAGTCCACATCTGGGCAGTTGTTGATTTATTCTCCATAGCTAAAGGCTTGGATTCCAATCAGGTATATGTTTCCAAAGGCATCCTGTAGCAACTGAATGGGCAATCTTGTTTAAGAATGAAAACTGTGGCAAATCACCACTTTCAAGCAAGGTTCTCGGACCATATCACAACAATGAATTTATCTGTCAAAGAGTGCCTGGTGGTCTGTCTGATTATGCAGGCAGCCTAAATTAGCTTTCACAGGTTTGCATCTCATTGTTTTTCCTGCTTCAATAGATACCTCTCAGAATGGAAACAGCACAGAAATCTGTGTTGTTTTTGAATTAAAGGGATGCATTTGCTCCACCACTAACTGATCAGGTTCCCAATAATGGAGCCCAAGTTCTGCAAAAGAAACTGGGAGAAAGGAGCAAGTGAGGTACACTTGAATTATTTGCATAGGGTGTCCATCTTGAGCTCAAAGTTTCAGTATGTCTCCAGTCAGCAGAAGGAGAAGCCTGATCATGCTCCAAATATATGGGGGAAATGGGATCTTGGGGCTCTGCGTGGCGAATCCTTTGATTTAAATAGCATATGCATACAATAACTTCAGCAAATGCAATGGCTCAGGATGATCAGTTGACTAGTAGAATATTACTGTGCAAGAACACTGGTTGAGGCTTTTTGCAGAAGACAAAGAGTAGCTATCTTGTTGCTTTTCAAAACGGGAATAGGCAAGAAAGAAAATGCAGAAGGGAAATGGACAGGAATAACAAATCAAATAACAAATCCTCCTTATTTTTTACTTGTTCAATCTATTCAGAGAGGGTGAAGTGGATTTAATGGCCCCAGCATTTCAGAATTGTTCAGGCCAATTGCAGGGTAGATCACAAATACATTAACCTTAAAAACCAACCAATCAGAAGCCTTGTTGGTCAGGTTTTAAGGGCTTGAGGTCCTGACTTTCACTTATTAAGGAAGCCCTCCAGAGACAGTGTCGACCTTTTCGTATCTCATTATCTCAAACAGAAAGGAAGAAAATAAAAAGATTAAAGCGATCACAAAATACTCTTCAGAAATGTCTATTAAAAAAATAAGATTGGTCGGAAAATATGTTTGGATATTTCTAACTGTGCTGCGTGGGTGACGGGACGGCAAGATGGCTACTTGGCTGGAATAGAGAGATAGGCGATGACAGCGGGTTGGTTTGTTTTTCTGACAGCAGTGAGGAGAACACGATAAAACTAGATAGACTCCACGTAGTTAGCTGGATAAAGACCCAGTTGCCCGTTGTCCAGACGCCCTTTGCACCAGCCTTGTTCATCTTCTTCACCTAATTTGGTTAATTCATCACCTAGAAGAAGGAGAAGAACAAATTTGAAATTGACGGCTCCTTGTCAATCTATCGCAGTAAAGGGCAAATGGCACCAAAGGATGGGGGTGCTTTCCCAACTGTCCACTTTTCTGCTCCAAATCTCTCACCTCAGCTGCTTTCAGCACATATTTAACCTTGTGCAATTCTGCGCAGGGAGAAACAATGGGCTGCATGATTTTGAGAAGGACAAAGGTTTGCGGGGGGGGGGGGGAGCCTAAAGGTCCCCTTCCTTCTGCTATCCTCAAATTCTCAGAGCACATTGACATTTTGTTTTGTGTTGCGCTTTCTAAGCACAGGTCCAGGATTTCTAGGTCTGTGTTAGAGCGGTTTGTGAGTCTCACCACTTTTGCTGGGAAAACTTGTGTTTCAATGCTGAATTGGAACAAATGGCAATCCATGGAAAACCCAATTGCCATTTGTTCCAATTCAGGGTTGATAGCAAGTTTTCCTGGGGAAAGTAGTGGAGCAGACATGTGTGCACGTGCGCACGCACACCCCCCCACTGAGACACAGACCTAGAAATCCTGTACCCGTGCCTAGGAAACGCAGCACAAAAGGTAGTGTCCATAAGCCCTCAGTCTCCCAAGGCTGTTTTACATTAAAATATTAGGTACAAATGGTATCACCCACCAAACACAAAAAGGGGAACAGCAGTGGCAGAGAGGGAGGGGAGGCCAAGATAACAGGTGGTGGTATGAAAGGTTGGGGATATGGGGACCCTACAGAAAGTGTCTTGTGTGAAGTCCTCCCGAACCTGGCAGCACCTCTGAGAGCACATATGTACAAGCTGCAGGAACATCTATGATGTTTTCACCACCACCACCACCATCAATTAAATTTGCATTCTGCCCTATACCTGCAGGTCTCAGGACGGTTCACAGGATAAAATAACTATATAAAAAAAACAGAATAAAGAGGAAGGGTTTTGCATGGTGCCTAAAGGTGTATAATGGAGGAGCCAGGTGAACTTCCCTGGGGAAAGCATTCCACAGATGGGGAGCCACTGCAGAGAAGGCCCGTTCTCGTATTGCCAGCCTCTGGACCTCTCAAGGAGGAGGCACACGAAGGAGGGCTTCAGAAGATGATCTCAGGGTCCAGGTAGGTTCATATGGAAAGAGACCCTAAGCCGTTTAAGGCTTTATAGGTCAAAACCAGCACTTGGAATTGGGCCTGGAAACTAATTGGTAGCCAGTGCAGTTGAACCAGGATCAGTGTAAAATGCTCAACCTTTCTTGTTCAGTGAAGAGCCTGGTCACTGAATTCTGCACTAGCTGAAGTTTCTGAACAGGCTTCTGAGGCAGCCCTACATATAACGCAGTGCAGTAATCTAACCTTGAGGTTACCAGAGCATAGACAACAAGGGGGTTGTGGCCAGTATCCGTGAGACAGCACTAGCCCAGGCAGCAATCTGTCATCTGTTCATCTCAGCCATCACCACTTAGCAAATCTTAAGACATACCTGCTTTGAAACTCAGCTCGTCCTGTTCCTGCCCGTCATAGTCATACAGAGCTCGTACACGCACGCCTTTTGCAGCTGGCTCTTCCTCAAAGGAGTTGGCACCACCATTGGCTTCGCTGGAGTTGTAGGTGTTGCCGCCCTCATCGTCTGACCACTCGGCAGCGTAGGCTTGGCTACGTTCATAGCTGCTCACGCTGGCAATGCAATAGGGCACCATGAGAACCGATACTATAGCACAAAGCCCCTGGAGATGGCTAAGCACAAGGGTACTCTATGGCCTCCAGTTCCCAGGATTCTTGGCATACTCACCTGCCACGGTCCCCAGCTTGTGCTGCTGCCTCCCCACCCCCAGTGGCATTGGATGCGTTGCTTGTTTCATTCTTTTTTGGAGGTTTCTCTTTCCTTGCTACTGGTTGTGCTGCTGCATCTGGGTTCCACTCCTGCAGCCAAGGAAATGTACCATTGAATTCTTAACAGCGTCGCACTGCTCTCCTAACCCCCAGTTCTAATCATAAGGACCCTGCTGGATCAGACCAAAGGCCTATTTCATCTTGCCTTCCTTTCTGCCACAGTGGCCCACTGGGTGCCTGCTCTTGCTCCTCAGCAGCTAGCATTCGGTGGCAAATTGCTTCTCTGAATATCAAAGCTCAAGAGACCCACTGAGGCTAGCAGCTGTTGAATCTGCAGGCTACAGCCTACCTGACATAAAGCGAAGGGTCACAGCTCAGTGGTAGAGAACCTGTTTGCATGTAGAAGGTCTCAAGTTCAATCAACTGCATCTCCAGGTAGGCATGGGAGACAGCTCTGTTTGAAATCCCAGAAAGACTCTTCTAGTCAGTGTAGACCAAGGTTTCCCAAACATGGGTCTCCAGCTGTTGTTGGCCTACAACTCCCATCATCCTGAGCTAGCAGGACCACTGGTCAGGGATGATAGGAATTGCAGTCCAAAAACAGCTAGAGACCCAAGTTTGGGAAACCCTGGTGTAGATTATACTGCACTACGGAATTGCAGCCACCCCTGGTTTTGGCGTAAGAGGACAGTTTCTTACCTCTACCTGAGGCCAGTTCATGGGCATTCCTGGGCCACTAGTGTTGCGGAACCACCGTAGGTCTTCTTGCGCATCGGCTGCACGGATGGTCTGCTCCAGCTCACGGTACACCTTAGCATAACTGCTTGTTTCAAACAGACATACAAGCAAACACACCTCTCAATACTGGGCATGAGTAATGTGGCAAAAGCAGCAGCTGGGGAAGGGCTGTTGCACATGCTTTTCATACAAAAGCTTTTCATACAAAAGCATCTTAAGATACGGCTAGGAAAGGCTCCTCTTTATCTGTGAAACCCTGGAGAGTTGCTGCTAGCTAGTGTAGACCACGTTGAGCTAAGGCAGCCTCTTGCGCTCATCAACTATAACCAAGGAAATCTGAGCACTCCGATTGTTCTAATTAAGCACAAGGGGGCGCAAGCAGCACACATAAATTGGACCTGCACTGGCTTTGCAGTGCAAGGAGGATGGCAGTGTGACTTTGCTGCTATGCTATCTGTGATTCATTATAGAGGTGTCTGAGCATCCTTACCAAAAAATCTGGCTGTTTAAGCAAGATTGTAAAATATCTATCTCTAAGGACAGTCCATCTTCCCTAGCAGTAATGAATGGAGAAGTTACTGGAAGGTATCAAAGTAGGTCGCCTTAAGCTATGATTCGCTCACAGTCCCTTCATTGCAGCTAGAAGGACATCAGGGAATGGGCAATCCTTCCTTTTCACAGAATACCTCTGTGGAATTTCAGAGAGATCATGTGATCCAGCTTTCAGGTTCTTTACCTTCAAGCAATGATGGCTCATTTTTATTTGGGATACCTTCTTTATTTGGGGCTTATTCCTACTGTCTTTGAGGAGCTATCCTCTGGGTGTATCATATCACTGCTATATGTTTTCAGCAGATTCTGAAGTCTTTCCTGTTCACCCAAGTAGTCCCTGTTTAGGGAAGTTTTTAATGTTTGATGTTTTATCACATAATGATGATGATGATGATGTTGGGAGCCACCCAGAGTAGCTGGGGAAACCCAGCCAGATGGGCGGGGTATAAATAATAAATCAATAATAATCATTATCATTGATATTGGTTGGTATATTATGTTGGCCATTGTGGAGATGGAGAAAACTGTATTACTGCATATATGATTTTTTATTTTTGTGTACTGCTTCAAAATTCTGAATTATTAAGCAGTGTAGAAGTTTTTTTAATCAAGCAATCAATATAGCTTCTGACACATTTATGACCTTTTGCACTATGATTAGATTCAGGATTGTGCAATCCAAACCAACTTTTTCCTTGCAGTGGTCTTATGATAGGCATTTTGTCCACCACCTCACATATACCAATCTATCCACAAGATGCAGATAGAAACATACTTTGTGCTTATGGAAATTATTTAGACAGTCCATAGAAACTGGCTCAAGCTTTCATCCCTCTTTGATTTCCAGATACAGCTCTTACAGCAGGGAGAACTTTTGGAGCTTGTTGCTGGGTGCGGGAGCTGCATTAGCTAATACAGTGGTACCTCGGTTTAAGAACAGCCCTGTTTAAGAACTACAGTGGTACCTCACAAGACGAATGCCTCGCAAGACAAAAAACTCGCTAGACGAAAGGGTTTTTTGTTTTTTGAGCTGCTTCGCAAGACGATTTTCCCTATGGGCTTGCTTCGCAAGACGAAAATGTCTTGCAAGTTTGTTTCCTTTTTCTTAACACCATTAATACAGCTGCGACTTGACTTCGAGGAGCAACTCATAGAACACGGTGTGGTAGCCTTTTTTGAGGTTTTTAAAGACTTTGGTGATTTTTGAAGCTTTTCCAAAACTTTCCCGACACCGTGCTTCGCAAGACGAAAAAAATCGCAAGACAACAAAACTCGCAGAACGAATTAATTTCGTCTTGCGAGGCACCACTGTATTCGGTTTACAAATGCCACAAAACCGGAAGTAGTGTCCTGGTTTGTGAAAGTAAAGTCTAAGAATGGAATCTGAATGGTGGAAGGGCACCGGTGGCGGGAGGCCTCATTAGGAAAAGCGCGCCTCAGTTTAAGAATGGTTTCAGTTTAAGAACAGACCTCTGGAATGGATTAAGTTCGTAAACCAAGGTACCACTGTATAGAATTTCTGAAAGAAAAAATATCCCAATGTTTTTATGAGCTCCAGTAGGCCTCCTCCTAGTTTAGGGTGGCTCTCAAGATTTGAAACTCACAGCCACCATTTGGTAGGCTCCAAGCTTGCACAGTAACACACACACTCACGGTCATCTCATCCGCGGTTACAGATTTTGGGATACTGAGAGCCATCTCTCCCAGCCTTGGAGGCCTCAGCTCCAAACAATATCTATAATATATCAAATGTTTTTGTTTTTTTAAAAAAGGCAGTCTGAGATCTCTTTCACTCACTCACTCACTCACTCACTCACACACACATACATATTCCCCAACTGTGGATGGAGAATTTACTAAATTACACATTACCCAACTCCCCCACAATTATTCAGTTCAAATTTTGTGTATATGTATAAAATAACCAGACATGCTTCTGGTACTTGAAAAATAAACACTGCTGCTGCTAACGCATCTGCTCAGACATTGCACTGGCTGTTTGGGGACTGTGAATTAATTTGCTTCTGCCACTGAATATCCCCTTGCTGCCCTGACAGATATACTAGAAGCTTGTTAATGAGAATGGCAACACTTCTCTCTTCAGCTTCCTTCTATGGCTGGATCTACATGTGCAGCAGGTTGAGATTGGTGTTAGACAGGGGTGTGCATCAGCTCTGTGAGGAGGCTGAATAACAAGGGGAATTGGGGTTATTCTTTTAGGCGACTCCCCCCACCCAAGCTGAAGTATTAATAACCTCCCCAAGTCAGATCGGGGTCCTTCCAAAGCCTTGCATTGCTCTGTCACCTTATTTATGCGTTTTTCTGTTCTGCTTTCCTATAAATCTCTGTTTCACTAGGCCCTCAAGAAGTGAGGCTCTCCAAAATGCTGCATGCAGAACATTTAAGAGCTCTAGATTTTTTGTGTGTGCTAAAGCACAGCAGCATAGAATGTTTTAAAGAGTTAAATGCTTCATTTCAGGCATTTTTAAAATCCAACATTCTCTGCTTTAACAACTTCACAACTTCAGCTGACTGCAGGCAGTGTTCTAGAGGGTCTCACATTGTAAGGCCTGTGAGACACCTGTAAATATCTAGAGAATTAAAACCAAAACCAAAACCAAAACCAGAAAGAAAGACCGGTGTGCAAAATTATTTCACCAAAGGCTTTAAGGCAGCCTCCATGCTCCTATTTCAGGCTGCAAAAGCACTGTTTGAAACAGCTGCCTCCTTCTCCTTTACGTGCCTCCTTTTTCAAAGGACTTTAAGACAGTCCCATGTTCTGTTTCAGCCTCTAGAGTCTGAAATAGGACCACAGGAACTCTCTAAAAGTGCTTTGCAAAAATGCTGTTTGAATCAGTTTGCGCTTCTCCTGTAAGTAGGTAGACAGAAGCGGGTGTGTGAGAGAGAGACCCATTTATTTAAAGGAGAAGTGTAAGCTGCTTCAAATATTACTTTAACAAAGGGCTCTAATCCCTGATCTTGAGCAGCTTCTTTGATGCAGGAGCTACAGCATCTACAAGAGATGGCTGACTAGCCTCTGCTTGAGACTGCTAGCAAATGAGAACTTTCCCCACCCCAGCAACTACTGATCTCGTCATGGAACAGTCTGTATGGTAACCAGAGATGGAAAGTGGGATGGGAAAGTGGAGCCAGTGCAGACTGTCCAAGGTGCAATGCCAGTGTGCGACTCTTGTATGTTGTGTCTTCTTAAGAGAATTTCCCCCATAGTTCCCATATGATGCTAAAATGCTGATTTGGGTGCAGGAGATGCACCCGCAAAGATGCACAGTTGAATGAAAGGGAAGTTGACAAGGCTGGGAAGAAGCTCCAAGTGCTCACTCAAGGACTATCCCTTTCACATAAATCATGGGGGCATTTTCTACAGGGCTGTTTCAGAGTTTCAGGGCACTTCCAGGTTGCTGCTATTTTCAGGTGGGATTCAACCACATTCTGGCAAATTCATGTTACCCAGTTAAAAGTTGATTTGATGCTCTTGCACAAAAAACCTTCCCCCCCCCCCCAATATCAGATTTTTTGTGATAAGGAAAGTGACGGAAAAACGCACTGGAAAGTGTGGGGCGACCATTGCTTGCTGCAATGTCATATAATCTCTCCACAAGTACATCAGAATGAATGCACAATGAATAGTCAACACTGTCTAACCTCCCAGCAAACCTTGTGCAAGCAATTGAGGATGAATGCTCAATAAACAGATTGCCTGGAAGCAGCCTCAGGGAAATATGATACCTGTTGTTCTCTGCCAGGTTTAGGTGCCGCTTGATGTCCAACAGCACCTCCTTCAGAAAGATGAGTCTCTTCTCTTCAAATTGCTGGCATTGCTCAAAGACCTGCTCCATACTTTCCATGTACTGTGGGGTACACTTACTAATCTCATCCACCACCTTTTCATACTTCTCCTGGGTCTGTGGACACAAAAAGGGGACTCAGATTAAGATCTAGATACTGAGAACGGCACCCTGTTCCCACAGCAAGACCTGTCTAGGCAGGCTTTCTGGGCTGGATATTCAGTGTGCTTAAACACATCTAGTTCCACTGTTTTCAATATAACACTGACCTACACCATGTAAGGTTTTGACTGCCTAGGCCTAATTTAAGTCAGCTGCAGCCATCTATAGAGAAGACTTCTGGAAGGCTCTGTGGCATTGCTTCAGTAAAGAATAAATGTTGATGAAACTCATTACAGAAATGGATGGGAACAGAAGTCCCAAGTTCACTATGGACTGCTCAAGAGCCATGCATGAACTTGTATCAAGACCTGATAAAGAGGTTCAGTCAGTATATATGTTTCAGAAACATGAAAGAAACCAAAGACAGTGGATATCAAGGATGCAATGGAACAATCCCTCATCCATGCTGTTCTGATGGTTCTCCTGACTCCCCCGAGCCAATTTTAGGGGATACAGCAAGAAGGAGAGGCAAGGAAGGTTGCTGATGGGGTTCGTTAGGTGAATCCTGCCCAGTGCCCAGAACTCCATTACCAGCTCTGGGGCAGTAAGGCATTATAGAGGAATTATTTTTCCAGCTTCTGTGTAGCAGCAAGTAGGTCACCAGATTCACCTCACAGCAGTGGGGAGAGGCAGGAGAGAGACTGGCAGATGCTGCACAGGGAAGGAGATATCATGCCCACACTATTTTTCACTGCCTTAGAGCCATAAAAGCAACAGCGAGGTACAAAGTGAATTGTTGGTGAAGAGAACCCAATGATCTTGCCCGTTGCTGCAGGCTTCTCCTGTCTTAGCAAGTGAAAATTTTGTAAGCCAGCTACAGAGGACCAAAGCATATGTAAAGCTTTCCTCAAAGCCAAGGCACATTGGGAGTATGGACTTCTTCCCAGCTCTACTGGTTCCCCCATCCCTGGGTGCTACTGAGAACGTTGCAGTGTCGATGACCAGGGAGGAAAAAGGGCAAGCAGGAGCAAAGCAGACTTGCATGACTCCACACCGCTCTGTCAATTACACCTGGATCATGTGACCAAGAAAAGGAGTGCATGTGTAGGATGTACATGAGTGAATGCATGTGAGAATGGTGTGAACTGCTATATGAGAGAAACAAAACGATAAGAGAATATGGATGTGAGCACCACAGACGAGGGGGCAGGCATGCAGAGGGACAAGGATGATAAAGGGCCTTTTGTGTAAGGATGAGGAAGTGAATGTATTAGAAGGTTGTTCATGTTTGTGTAAGAGTGTGCATGCACATACTGTAAAACATTGTGCGTGCATTTGTTACTTTTTTTTGTCTGCGCCTTTATCTACATGTGAAGATGGTTGCATTTCTCAGATGTTCAAAGGGAGAAATTTCCATGTGTGTCAATTTGTCTACATCCTTGGTGGTCACTCCTACCTTTTGCACATCCTGCTTGCATTTTTCCACTTTGTCTTGCAGCTTCTTTTGCTGATCTGGAGTGATGGACTGCTCAGCTTTGCTGTTGGCTTCTCGGGTCATGGCGAGCTTCTCCTCTTTGCATGCCAGGTGATATGCTTTCTTGGCTGTTTCCAGCTGGTTTGAGTTGAGAAAAGAAGGAAAGGGTGACTGCTGAGGCCCAGTACAACATTCCTATCTCCTGTTTCTTATGAAACTGCTGCAGTAAGATTGAGGCCAGAAATGCTCACTTTTGCCGGAAACAATTCCTCTCCATTACAAGTCCACCACCCCCTTCATAAAGCCCATTGCCCATGCTTTCAAAAAATCCAAACTCTGTGCTTAGAAACCCAATTTGGCTACTGTAGAAAACTGCACAAGGACATAGCAATGCTTTCTCTGTAGGCATGAAGACTAGAAACTTGAGTTTTCTTGTTACAATGAAAGCTCTGGTTTTCAGAATTCATCAGCTTCTGCAAAGTCAAATTATGTGGTTTACAGCTATATGTAGATTACTAGAGAACTGGCAAATACTTCTTACTTCCCAGGGGTGTGTGTGTGTGTGTGTGTGTGTGTGTGTGTGTGTAGATGTCTCTTAGCTACACTGAGACCCATTTAGGTCTATGAAAGTATAAACTAAACCATGAAGGTAGGGCTCTACAGACACTGGATACATATGCAACATGATCCTTTTTTGTGCCACACATTGTGATCTTTATATTATCTTGCAGGTATGACTTGATTCCCTTAAGATAAAACAGGCTCCTGCCCACATCCCATGTTAGGGTTCTGTGGCTAAAATGGGATGGGGATGCTCTCTCAGTCACAGCCCAAGAAAGCTGTTGGGTTCCTTTCCTCCATAAAATGATTGACCTCATGAGTCACTCTGCCCTTCTCTCCTCCTCCAGCCCTTCCTACCTCCTTCATCTTCTTGGCCCAGGGTTTCTGTGCTTTCCGAAAACCATCCTCTGCTTCCTTGGCCTCCTTGAAGCCTCCCATGATCTGTTTGTGGAAGGCATCCTTCTGCCAGTTCTTCACCTTCTCGAAGTCGTCGTTCAACAAGCTATTCTTCACTTCCTGATGCAGCTCGCTCACCTTGTCCGCCTCTGTCATTATGGCCATCCACGCTTTCTCCAAACTGCCGTACTGTGGGCCTATGTACCGAGAGCACCAGCAAGGCTGGGGTGACCATTGGGCATCCTGAAATAACACCCTGTTCCTCCCTTGCAGGCTACACACTCTCATAATGCTCTCACAATACATTAAGGGACTGTAACCTTTGCCATTTAGCTGGTTGGAACACTGTGGCAGAGAACTGAGAAGTACATAGTGACAAGAGACTTGAACAATATCTAGGCACTCTAGTTCTTAGAGCAGGGGATGAGAAACCTGTGGACCTCCAGGTGCTGCTGGACTCAGCAACAGCCCCATCCGCTACAAATAGCGTAGCCGATGTTCAGGGAGGGTGGAAGTCTCAGTGCAACAACGTGTGGAAGGCCACAGGTTCCCATCCCTGTTTTAGAGTATTTCCAGACTACTGTTCCTTGTGCAATAGTTTTGCAGTTGACAGTTATTGAGGCAGGGGACCCACCCACATTATCAGCAAGGCAACCCCTCCATCTCATGTGCCAAACCATTTTGTGTGCATTTTCCTTTATTCTCTATTTAATTCTGTGAAAGCTGTGCAGTGGAGTACACATTCCCCCTTATTCTTTTTTGACCAAGAGACAGGAGTAGGAGGGTCAGTCTGGAGCAATTCTTTTTTGGCGGGTGGGGGTGGATTACACTAGAGGGAGGCAGCAAATCCCGCCCCCTTCCTGTTTCAATGATCAATACCTTTGTCAAAGGAGGGCTACTAATTGAATACCACCCAAATCCCAAAAACCAGAATTTCTCAGGAGTTTGTGTTCTCCATTGTGTGTAATCAACAGCTCCATGTGGCTGTTTGGAAGATTGGGGAACTGGTACCAGAGGAGGGTTAACCACCCACTTCCCCAGTGTCAGTTATGGAGGGTAGTATTCAACTCAGTTTTACTGAGAGTAGACCTTCTGAAATTATTGGTTCTCACCAAGTCACTTTCACCAATTTCAATAGGTCTACTCTTGAGTAAAGGTTCAAGACCACCTCCAGGCTTGAAAGAGGTTGCATTGGACTACTGACCTTGAAACAAACAAACAGCAGCCCAAAAGCACCCAGGAGAGATCCTGATCACTGACCTTTCACATCAGGTCTAATTTTGCCCACTATATCCTGACATAACTTAGAGGCTATTCTCCATGCTGCCTGTAGTTATACAGAACAGGGTATCATGCTGCTGCTGGCACTGGGTCTGCACTCATATGCATCAACAATGGACTGTGATTGTATGCACACCAGTACGTCCCACTGGACACAGTAGGGCTTGCATCTTTGTAAACATGCATTTCATCAGGCTGCAAGAAAGAAGTGAGATTTTAAAAACTCTTGTTGTGTTTACAAAGCTCATGAGGTTTTAGCTGATCTGACTCATTTTATGAATAACTTAATATGTTGGGCTTTGTTGTGCATTATTATTCTGATTTATCTGTTTACTGAAAGCTTCTTGGGCCAAATCTGTACTTGGAAACAATAAATTTCTGAATAAACAACTAATAGTCTGGGAAGGCCCATGCAGCAGCAACTTGTTCACACAGCCCCAGCATAGCTTTTACTATTAGATGAAAATAATTAATCTAAAATAATTCCTGGGGAAACATTCTTCCTCTACATTACACAGAGGGTGGGGAGGAAGGACTGATGCCACCTTGCAAATTGCTGTTCCTGTCTCTTCCATTTCCCATCTGCTCTCCCCATTGTGCCCCACCCCAGTATGGAGGAGAAATACCTTTCTCTATTAGCTGCCTCCACCGTTTGGACCAATCGACCAGCTGCTGGGAATATGCCTTCTCAATCTTGGCCCGCTCATGGACACAGTTCATCAGGTCATTGCACAGCCGATAACCATCATCAATCCGTTTCACCGTCCGTTTGTAGTTCCCTACCTGCCAGACACATGAACAGCTGAATGGTAAGAGTGACTAGCTGGAGTCCAACAGATAGTCCTGGAGGCCAGCCTGGCTCTGAGCAACCAGGAGAGCAAAAAGAATATCAGATTCTTATCTCTCCAACCCAACATGAGCCACAAGTTTGACATGTGGGTGGGGCTAATCCGATGATTGTTTATGCTAGCACAGCACCCTGTACAGCTCTTTGCAGTCCCCATGATCAGCTGCTTTTAGGAGCTTGCAAGAAGCCACATACAGTGCCATGCAAGTCAGCGGATCACTGCTTGCAAAGTGCAGTGCACTGAGCTTTTGCAAGCACCAACAATCAGCTGGTTGTCTGTGCTTGAAAAGCGATGTGCATGGGGCTTCGCAATGTGCATGTTGCCAACCTGCTGATCAGCACCATCTGAAAAACCCCTTTGCCCCAGCTGCATCTTTACCTACTCTGCACCTGATGTCAGGAGGGTATGGCTTGGCCAAAATAGCCTGGTTTGGCTAAATGGAGAAGCCCAATTAGGTCTGCTGGCCTACATGATATCAGTGAATCAGGGGTCATTTAGTGAATGTGATGATGGCACCATGCTACCTAGCCAATTAGAATTACTCTACTGAAGGTGAGGGCAAAACTTCCTGGACTGGTCAGATGGATGATCCTATTCCATCAGATCACTAATTGCTCTCACACTAATACAACTAGCAAGGTCACTTTTGTCCCCTTTGACTGCAACCCCCCCCCCCAATGCGGAATTAGGGCCCATTCTGCAGGTGCCAGCCATGTCAGCAAAATGTGCCCCTTTTTAACCAGTGAGTAACCACAACTAGCTAGATTATAAGGTTTAGAAGGCAGAGATTCCAGGGTAGAAGGGTGACTCCCAGAAGCTCACGAGCTCTGGAAACTTTTGCTTTAGAAATTAAGTATTAAGAAGGCGCCCGAGTTGTGGGGACAACATCTTCTAGAAGGAAAAGCATCAGAAGAGCAAACTGTATATGATCAACACTGCTTTTTTCCAGAAGGTTCTCTCCATCTTCTACCCTTTCTTTCTGCAAAATCCATTGCACTGCTGTTGAAAACCTATGGCAATGCATGACTTCCCTTCTCTAGAACCTTGGGTTCAAGAGTCAACCAGGACCACCAATCAGAAATCTCATTTGCATGAGGCCAACAGGGAAGCTTTGGTTGGACCTTGGAGGGGCTGTTTTATGCTGCCTCCCTCCTCCACCAGTGTTTCTTCAGAAGATACATATGTGGTTTGTGCTGAGGGGACTCTTACCTCCCAGAAACTGTCAGTTATTTCCTCAGCAGATGCCGCAGACTCATCATAGGAGCCTGACATGGTTTGTGGCCCTTGGGGTTTATGGCAAAATGTTCAGCCACTCTGCAGACCTCATGCACTGCAAGGGATAAGAAAAGATGAGGAGAAAGATCATGCAAACTTTGAAAGGAACCATGGCTGGCCCAAGACATTTTGCCATCTGAAGCAAAGAGCAAGATGGCACCCACCCCTTCCATTCCAGGTGTAGAAGCCATTCCAGGACTTGTCCTTGATAAGCACTACATTTCAGGGTTTCTTTGCAGAAAAAAATGGCCTCTTGTTAGAGCAAAATTAACATTCCTGCAGCCCTCCATCCTTCAAGAAACAATGTACCCATTTCCTTCAATTATTAGTAGTATTGCCAAATCGCAAATAAACAAATACCAGGCCCACAACACACAGCATTTAAAGCAGATAGGAGCTCCCTCTCTTTATCTGCACTAATGGCAATGCAACACAGAATATGCTGAAGTTTGACAAGCTGATCCCAGTGGTGTTTCTGTCCCATGCAGCAGCCTATGGAAGTAAACAAGGCTAGATTCTCTTTTCCTATGCTCAGGATAATTACAGTGGTGCCTCGCAAGACGAAATTAATCCGTTCCGCGAGTCTCTTCGTCTTGCGGTTTTTTCGTCTTGCGAAGCACGGCTATTAGCGGCTTAGCGGCTATTAACGGCTTAGCGGCTATTAACGGCTTAGCGGCTTTAAGAAAAGGAAACAAACTCACAAGAACTCGCAAGACGTATTGTCTTGCGAAGCAAGCCCATAGGGAAATTCGTCTTGCGGAATGACTCAAGAAACACAAAACCCTTTCGTCTAGCAAGTTTTTCGTCTTGCGAGGCATTCGTCTTGCGGGGCACCACTGTATTACCCTTCCCGTCCTCCCAGGATACAAATTATAAAGCTTGCTGGGGATGGCAAGGCAAGAGCCATTGGTCATTTTGTGGCTCTTTGAATTTACTACAGCTCTTTGAATTTACTACAGCCTATTAAAATGTTGCCATCCCAGGCTAGGTCAGTGACTCTGCAAACAAGCTCTGTGAGGTGGCTGCTATGGAAGGCCTCCCATGTGGCTGGTGCTTACTGTCAACATAAATGCTCACATGAACAGATGGTCACAGATATTAAGTGTCCCTTGCCCATCTCTCAAGCAAACAATGGGGGCCGCTCAGGGATGCATGAGGGACAAGAAGGGGCTTAGTGGAAATGAAGAAGCTGGGAATACAAGGATACAGTACAGTACTTCCATTGCTCCCTTAGGAAACCAAAGCATGCCCTATCCTTCTGCTGTGTCTCAGTTCTGTCTGCCTTTCCCTTCGCAATCCCAGTCTGCCTTCTCTGCCCCTCTGTCTGCAATAAATCCAGTGAGGAATTAAATTCAGGCAGAAAGTGTTTGGAATTGGAAAGCATCTTCTCCAGTCCTCGTTTTTTTAAAAAAAACCACACAAAGAGGGAGAGAGAGAAATAGTTGGGGGAGATAATGTACACCACAACTTAGATAGATTGGACCCTCCCCCCATCACATTCCCGTCTTATTAGGACACATCTATTCCTGCCTATTCTATAGACTTCATAAAAACATCACTCTTCAAAGCCCTGCTCAAGTCTAAGGGTACATTATACAACATCAGGAATGATGTGTCTGCTGTCAGTCAGGAATGAACCACTATTAGCTCACATGGTAAGGCAAAACACCTTCAAAAAGGGAATGCTATGCTTAGGATGGGGATCATACCATGACAGAGGTTTATGGATGCATGTCTTCTTGCCTTCTCTAAAGTAGGATGGTCTGTTCTGTTCCATGTCAGGTGGTGGGGTTAATGGGAAACAAGCTCGAAAGCTTGTTCCTGATTATGTGGACTGCAACTCCCACCAGCCCCAGCCTGCATGGAAGGCCCCAGATTGGGGAAGGCTTCTCTAGAGACATTTCAACATAATCTGTACTGATCTTCAGAGAAATGTGAAAAGGGCAAGCTACTTAACCCTTCGGCATCATCCAAAGGAGTAAAGTGCTGTTGTCTCTTTTATTGAAAAGGTTACATCTAACTCTCTACCTTTGCCAATGCGTGAAATTTGGACATATAATAATGGTGCCTTTTGTAAATAACTTTGTTCTTTTGTTGGTGTGAAACATACATACGTACACACACACACACACAGAGAGAGAGAGAGAGAGAGAGAGAGAGAGAGAGGGAGAGCGGGGGAGACAGGGCTGGCATGGGAAGGGAGGTTTCTCAGTCAGTGACCCCAGATCACCTATGTGTAGGATGGCCAGGTTTAAATAGATGGGCAAGTCTTCTACAGTTTGAATTTTTGGGCAGAAGAAGGCATTTCAGCAGATGCCTTCTTTGTGCCCCTGTACAAATCTTATGCCGTGGATAGCCTATGTCCAGTCTGGATTGTTTATGGAGTGCTTATATGACAATGTGCATTCACCTTGATTTATTTACAGATATTCCTGTTTACACATATTCCTGTTAACAATTCATTCCTTCCCACACTTTTCAATGTTTCCCCCATTATTTTCCTAACAGTAAAATGTCCCTTTTCTGGATCTGTGGCCCTAGGGCAAGAGGGTGCTTTAATCTACTTTAACTGCACAAACCTATTGTTCCGGTGTGCACCTGAATCCTTACTGGAAAACGGTGACAGTCTGGAGGTTCCTAATTCTTGCAAAACTGTAGCAGGGCAGCTACAACTGCTATAAATGTCCTCTGCATAGCTCTGAAACTTACAGAATCCCTGACCTCTGCAGGGTCTAATTACTATTTGTGTTAATGTTTATGCGAAATACTTTGCAGACATGTAGAATCAGACTACATTTGAGTCTAGATTAGCACAATTATTTTTGTTGTGATTAAGACATTCTCAGTTAATTTTGGGGGGTAGATTTTGCTCAAGGAACTGGTCTGAACAAATGCCATAACATGTTCCAGAACAGTGCTTACTATGTCCATTAAAACCACTTTCAGAAAGCTGTATCAGGCTAAAGAGATCATATGATCTATCAGAGACAGTGATAGTTCTCTCTGTGTGGTGAAACAACTCCATGTCTCCATTATTTCACCTGAAAATGTGGAACAAGATACTGAGATACCTTTTTAAAGGCAAGTGAAGCTTCTTTCTGAAGGAATGTGATGGTTGCTTAAATCGTTCTGTTCAACCCAGAAATCATTTTTTTTTCATGAGCCTCTTTAGAAATGGCAAAACAGAACAGGCAGAGATCCTGGCTAAGAAACTGAGGGCTGTATTGGACAGAAGCATTGCTTGGAAAGGAAATGCCAACCCATGCAGATTCTAGAGCAGTGGCAGTCAGCCTGTAACACTGACTGCTGGCTGCATTCTTGGGAACAACCCTAAGGTACTATGCAGGTGATGAAGGGTCCATTTATTGAGCCATTTATTTGGTAGCCAAAAGCAGATGCAGTACCTCTTGACCAAATAGGTAATGACAAATGCTCTGAGCTGGCATGGAATATCATCCATTAATGCAAAGCACTATTACTTTATATTTGCAGCAGGAGCACTATTTATTTTCTTGGGGGTGGGGTGGGGTGGGGTGGGGAGGGCCTTTCGTTTGGCAGATCTGACTGGCATAAGGCTCCAGCTTTCTGGATTCTGTGCTGAAATGGTTACAGGAGCTTCTGAGCTTGTTGCAAAGGCTGGCTTTAAGAGCTCACTGCAGTGGAACTAACAGTGCCTGGAAGGGATTTAGTGATATAACTCAGGAACCTACCAATCCAAGCTTGTCTTATAAATAAACGTCTCCCGGTGTCCCTTGCATGTTGACACAGGGGCATAGCTTTGTGTGTAAGTGCACAGAGAGTGAGACTTACTTGGCAATGCATGCCTGCACATGTAAACACCAGCAACTGACACTGCAGCACATGCACACATAGCAATGTACTGTAGAACATATTGAGGCAGCTGTAGCTCCCCGAGCCCAGCTGGGTTCAAAGTAATAAACAAACAAAGCAATATGCACAGCTGGGATATAAACTCAGCAAGTATTGCAAGGTGTGGCATCTCACAGAGATATATATTCCACAACATGTGTGCATACAAAGGCGCATTAACAACCACATAGAAAAATATACATGCTATCACATAGACCAGTGAAGCCTCATTAACTATAATTAAAACCAGGACAGCACATGATAGATTTGCTCATGTGAGAAGTGTTACATGACTCCTGAGGATCCACACAGATCTACACACTTTCTTATTAGCAGAATCAGATTTCAAAAGGTTTGCTAAGAAATGAAAGGTATTAATAGCATTGCTGCAAAAATTACAGAATTACCTCCCTGTGGTTTTGAAATACAAACATGGAAATAGCAGCATAACTGTATCATTACACCATGCTCTGCTATGCACACATAAGGTAAAGGTAAAAAAGGTAAAGGACACCTGGATGATTAAGTCCAGTTAAAGACGACTATGGGGTTGCGGCGCTCATCTCGCTTTCAGGCCTAGGGAGCCAGCATTTGTCCACAGAAAGCTTTCCGGGTCATGTGGCCAGCATGACTAAACTGCTTGTGGAACAACGGAACACCGTGACGGAAACCAGAGCGCACAAAAAACGCTATGCGCTATGCACACACAGGTAAACATACACAGTACACAAACACACACAGCAGAGCTTCTGATTTTCCACCCTTCCCCTTCCCCTCTTCTATTCAGGAAACTTTAGTCTCCTGAAGAAAAAATAGTTTAATTTCCCAGCCCCTCTGTAATTGCTGGCTGCCACAGGCTAAATTTATACCAGCCACATGCTGCTAATGCCCACTACCCTACACATACACAGCATGACACCATCTGTACTCTGTGAACATGTTCATTCCCCATTTTGGGATTCTGTTTATCCACCTGCCTCAGCTGTCACCTGGTGGAGGATGACAATTGCAGCATGTATCATCACAGCCAGATGTCGTCCCTACTCCCACCTTTAACTGAAAATGGTGACTTGTATTCTACAGGCATGCTCTGTATAAGATAGTGCTGAGGCCAAAACACGAGAGTG